AATGACATTTTCTGTCTAATAACCAAAAACAATTTAAATTTTACAATATTTTGGAGATCATACTCTTCCCAAATTTTGTTGCACTACATAAGAGGCTCACTTGATATAATTCTTCTCAGTAATTTTTGGCGTAATTTTTGGTTAACTAAAAAAAACAAAAAGATCCGTTTTTGCGTTAAACTTTGGACCCGCATTTCGCAAAATTACTCGCTTAAATAATTCTGCTAAAACTCGAAGCATGTTTTGTTCATAATTGTTTAACTTAAATCAACCCAGTTTCAGAAAAAGGTGTTTTAAATTCAAGTTTATAGCGTTTTGTCCGGATAAATTGAATCAGCACCGTATATTACAAAAAATGCAATTAAAATCCAAAACATTTAGTTCTTATATAGTCGCAATTAGCATCAGTTTCAATTTTTTGCATCTCGAGCATTGATATACAGCTTAGCAAAAACTGAAAAACTTTTTTTGATCAGCAGACGCGATAGAAAAATTGTTTGGAGATGAAAAGTAAAATTTGGCAGAAGTTCCATCCAGGCCTCTTAAAACGCCTTTAAATACTTCCGCATGAACTAATCATTTCCATGTTGCAATTATAGTATAAAATTGTTCAAAGTGTTTCGAATTCCTCTAAACATTATAACAATCCCTTCTGGTGCGGTTGCTAAATCAAAATAAACATAACGAGGGATCCACAAACGGGTCAAACTGTCCAAAACGTACATGGGGCTAATCCGAAATAACACATTACCCGTTGCTAAGAGAAGTGCAACAGAAACAAGCCGTGCTCGACACCCGGAAGCAGAGTAAGAAACAAATGAAGGATCTAGACAAACTGTAATTGGAACTACGTCTAGTCTGGTTTAAAGTTCAGACCTTATCTCGAAACTTGCGAGAAAGACACGGCCCATTGGCCTAAGCGGACTATCTAGACTTATTAAAGCATTTCCCTCTTGCCTATTTAAAGTTCAAAGTGCTCGAAGAGAAATATTGTAGTGTTTTAGAGTTATAGAGGCAATTTTGAGAGAGCCGGGAGAAAAATGGTTGCATACAGGGTTGGTTGAACGAGAAAAACTGTCCGAACACTAGAATGTTTATTAGTTCGACTTATTTGACGAGCAATAAAACAATGATACTGCATGCTTGTAGTTTGGCCACGTGCACTTTTGTTGGCATGAACAACTTTTCATCTAATTAGGATAAAGTGAGGACAACTTCGAAACTGGCTTCCAGTTTTATGATTTTGGTTGCCTTTCTTAGAATCAACTTTCAAGATCAAACGCCATATACAACGCGGTTAATGCCAAAACCAGGCGTAAAATAACCCAGAAAAGCCTAGTGAGTTAACATTGAAGCTTTTATGATTAATTGTCTCTACAATTTTCGGTTAAATTGGATAATTTGACAAATATATTTGGTGTTCAGGTCGCAGTAGAATAGAACAGTGTGTCCTGGCCTAAAACACCAATAAAAAACCTCCCGAATCTTTTCCATTCTCAAATCATTAACATCACCACTTGAACATTTTCATCTGTCAACTTTAGCAAAAATTGGCAATTTCGCCGAAAATTGTGAGTTTCATAGTGTAAGACAACTCGGAAAAACATACAACTTGTAACATACTCACCGCCGTAGTCGCTACAATGTGTTGCGAGCTTGCCAACAAAGGGTAGGACTTCAGAGAAAATTTAGAGCCGCATATCGCCGCATAGCGGCGAAATGCGAATAGCGCTCCCATAGGGGAGCTTAAACCAAAATTTTGAAGTTTAAAATTATTTTTCGAACCTTGTGAGTTGTCGTTTTCCTTAAATTCGGCGAGTTGAATTTTGTTTTCGCAGTACTGTTTCAAAGCCTGTTCTTTTTTGTTTGCAAACCAATATTGCGTAATTTCTTTGTGTTCTGACATTATACTGGAGTCAATAACGTCTCAAAGTAAAATTGAAAACAATTTTTGCATATTATGAACCAAGATTGCCCTTCAGCGTTCTGAAAAATTTTTGTATAAATGTTAAAATGTTCGAAAAAAAGAAGAAATTTCTATGCTTTTGACAAAAGTTCTTCACGAAAAAAGGTCGCAGAAAAAGTATCTTTTTAAATTCGAGTTCATATTTTTCCGTTGATGTTTTATCTACGATGAAGTTTTGAAAAAAATGCGCTTCATAAAAACTTAAGGGTTAGTCAACCAAACTGAATATTGTAAACTAATGCCAAAGAAAGAGTCTTTATGGGTAGTCAGAGGTACGAAATCCCCTTTAACTCGCGATTGAACTGGTTTAAGCACAACTTTCCTGTAAAAATTCTTGGGATTTTAAATTGCATGTATTTGAATTTGAGATTCAAGTAATGACTAGTAGAAAAAAATGCAGTTGGAATCACACAGAAGCAAAGCTGAGTTTCATTTCACCTGCAAACACATACACATTCAAAATATCAAAAATATATACGGTAAAAAGCAGAACTAGACTAGAAGCAACCTTTTCAAAAGTCAAAAACTCGAAAACATTTAAGTATCTCACGAACATAAAAAGGTAAAGAAACTCAGCTTGAACAAATCTAATTATTGAAAACCTAACAAACGAAAGTATAGCAACGTTTTTCGAATTAACAGAAGAGAAAATCCGGCGGTGCAATTACAGTAAGAGGAGCTCCTTTTCATGCAGTCCTTCACGTTTGAAAACTAAAAAAAGGTTTTTATAGTGTTGTATTAAAGTATTAATACAAGAAAAAACGCAATTATTTGTAAATGTTTTACGGCAAGTGACTCGCAATGGTCACCCTTCAGGTCTTTTATCCTCTCTAGCTTAGCAATAAATTTGATACTCAAATGGTTAAAACCAAAACTTTGAATCTTTATTGAGTATACTTGACGCCTAACTGTTTTATTTTGCAAATAGGAAACCGTGACGCTTGTCTCTTTTTATTTCGTCTTCGTGTTCTTGTTCCTAAAATGACAGTTACTTAAGTCTACTAAACAAAATCGAATGTCAAAAACGCTCTGCGTTAAAACCCCAACTCATTATAATTTTAACCTAAGAAGATATAGAATCGGAATAAAGATCGTAGCAATTCAAATTAACTACCTATCACAGACGCGAAGGTAAACTTCGCAAACACGAGCGAGAAAACGGCGAAAAGCTGCTCTAAACAGGCAAAAACGGTAAATGATGGAAGCTATTCAAGCGATTAAAGATTGAAATTTTTGAAAGATTGAAGTTGTTTCATAAAGCGAATCAATTCGCAAAAAAATGAAGTTTTTCTAGGCAAGCTTTTAAATCAAAGAAACTTTGAAAAAATTCACGTTATTAGATAGAGCGAATAACTTGGCAAAAAAAATATGTTTTTCTTAGTGAACTATTCAAGCTTTGTAATGCAATATTTCAAGTTACTTCACAGAGCGAACTGGTTCGCAAAAAGTTCTAGTTTTTCTATGCCAGCTATTTAAAACATTTCCAACTTTTAAATATTTCCAAGTAATTGCATAGACTGATTTGGTTCAAGAAATGTATAAGAAATAAATAAGCAAACTATTGCGCTATGACACTTTGAATTATTTCCAGTTATTTCATAGACTGAAAAAAATCGCGAAAAAATAAACTTTTTCCTAAGCAAGCTGTTTAAACTATGGAACTTTCAATAATTCAAGTTAGTTCAAAAAGTAAACCGGATGGCAAACAGTTTTACTGTTGAAACCGTTCAAGCGATTTCCAGGTTTTTTCTTGGTTTTTTAATTATTTTGCTTGCACGAGCTAATGAAGCAAGGAACTTCGAAAAAATTCAAGCTATTGTTTAGACCGAAAAGTTTTCCAAGGCAAGCAATTCAAGCGATGAGACATAATTCAAGATATTTAATGAATCAAATCGGTTCACGAAAAATTTGTTCAAGCAAGTTATTCGAAACTTTGAATATGTTCGAAACTTAGTAAACTACGATACTTTGAAAAAGTTCCTGGTTAAATCACAGACTGACTCGGTTTGCGAAAATCTTAAGTTTTTCTAGGCAAGCAAACCGAGCTATAACTTCGTAATTGTTGCATGTTTTTCCTAGACCAAATCGGTTCGCAAAAAGCTTAAGTTTTTCTATGCAAGGTTTAAAGCTATGAAACATTGAAATAATTCAAGCTATTTCGTGGACCAAATCGATTCGCGAAAAAATTCAGATTTTCTAAGCAAGCTTTTAATGCTATGAAACTCTGAATTATTTCAAGTTACTTCATAGACCAAATCGGTTCGCTCGATGGCCCTTGAACATTGTCTCCTAGTCTCCTAGTAATTCTTAAGCATTTGTTCAGTTGAACATTGCGTTCATAGAGCATGCCGACTTTCATTTAATATAAAAGATAACGCGTCAGAAATTAACAGCTGCGTAGATAGTGCAAGTAAATTAAATTCGCCTACCCAAGCCAATTGCGGAATATTAAATTTAACACAAATTAAATTTAAGCCAATTACGGAATATTAAATTTTAACACAAAAATTCTAAAACGACGATATAGTGGCAACATCCTAGTGTCTTAGAACGAGAAATTAGGTTTCAATCCCAATCAATACAGAAATCCATGAAAATTTAGAGCACGAAACCCTCCGAAAAACTCTCACAAAAGTTGTTAACAAACATAGAAGCATGCGCTAATTTCTTGTCTCGAAGTCTGAGCTGCAAAATTGCCACCAATTGAGCTTTTTTACTTGCGAGTTGGGTTAGAAAAAACATTGCTTCGTAATATAACACTACAACGCTAGCTCGCAGGTGCAAATAAATGATTCAATCGACAACTTATCCATCTTAATATTTCCTACTGATAAATTATCCAAAAAAATCATTTTACGAATTAACAAGGGTACTGGGATGTTATAACAAGGGTACTGATTATAGAAACAACCTAAGGCACCTCGTTCGAAATTACCAGTCGCAAAATAATATCTAAGGCAGTCGCTTTGAGCCTAGTAAAATAGCTGGAGCCTCTTAATTCTAAGAACTAGTGTACAAAATAAGCTTTTCTAACCTTGAGTCCAATGCTGCCTTGGCAGAAATGCCACGCGATCTCAATTACATAAGAGACCATGTAGACGAAAATCGTGATCTTCCATTTGTTCATGAGGCCGGGCGAGTTCTCGTAGCAGTAGAAATACGTGTATATCACTAGGAAGATAAAATACATGGAAATGTGAAGGAAAAATTTGGTTGCGGGTGCATTGTAAAACTGAGAGTAAGTGGTTTGTTTCAGCAATACGCCAGTGTTGTCGTCTAATTGCTCGATCTGCATATCGTCTATTTTTGATTGAATCGTCGCTTTGTGTGAGTTGCCCCCCGTTTGACTCGGGTCGATGACCGCAACGTAGGGGGGAGGGGGTGGCGGAATGTTTGCTGTGTGGTCTTCTTCCGAGGAAATAAACGAGTTCGAATCTTTCCTCTGAGCTCCGCTAGACTTTGCACCCATTTCGTCGCCCGCAACTTTTGTGGTTGGCGTGTACAACTCGTGATGTTGTTCAGAGTTACACTCGGCTATGCTCTGGAGTCGCGCCTAGAATCATTTTCATAATATTTTAACAGTAATCAGAACTTGTTTATTAGCTGCGACTCATATAGTAGTGGAAATTAAACACCTTTAAATATTTTTCGTTGAGAAACCCATTTTTGACAAGGACCGAATTATTCATTATCTAAGAAGTAAAATTGAGCAGCAAAATAAACGAATACTTAAGCTATTTAGCTTTCAAGCTTTTCTATTTGTAATTATGTCCATGAAAATCCAGTTTGCTCAAAATGGCGTAAAAAAGCGGTTCCGCTTTAAACTGATGTAGTCAATCATTAAGAGTTGTGAGTCGTGCCTGATTCATGAGGTTGTTCATTTGTTGGTTCTGCTGTTCCAGCAGGAGTATCTCCTCCTCCAGACTGAGTCCGTTATCGTTGGAGTCCACGTCAAAGTCAGTCACCACTTTCTCGCTGTAGATGGAGGGAATAGAGCAGGGGAAAAACACCGAGAAGATGATCCCTAAAAAACTTTGATAAAGATAACCGAACACAGAGATAAAAAAAGGCAAAACAATAGCGCTGTTATTGCAATTTACTGATACAACTAAATTGGCGTAAGAACAACTCGAGAGAGATGGCAAAAGTACAGCTGCTGTTGCTGAATAGAATTATAAATAGAACGATGTTTTGCCATTCAACAAAAATAATTGAAAAAAGCTCATTTTTTGCCAGAGAGCTCCAAAATCTAACATTTTGCATACTTTTTTCAGCGCAGATGTATATTTGCACTCCAACACGACAACTGGGAACAGGTGATAGCAATGATTTTTCTCGATTTAACTTATCGCGAGCCATTCAACGGGAAAAGGAGTTTGGACTGGTAACTAAGACCATCGGTGAAACTGCGACACCAATGGTGCTCCAAGTTAGGATACTAGTTTCATCAAAACATAGCAAAGCCAAAATGAGGAAAATGAGGACTGACTCAAGAGCATCAAGGTAGGAGAGAAACCCAGAAGAAACCCCAAATAATAGACGGCAAAGAGCCGATAGGGAGAACGCATTATCAAAAAACGCATTGCTAAAAAAACTTGAACGAATTTATCTGAAGTTTGATTTTTCATTTTTTTTCTGAGAGCTGAAAACTTTCTGTATGCTCTTGCTTTAAAAATCTTCGGTAATTTTTCACCGATCTAAGCCTATTCATTTCATATTTGTTCCAAAAAATCACAGCTATCAACATTTACTAGTTGTTATTTTTGAAACTAATTCCCAGTCATTTCTGGTTTCCTAATGTTACCTGTTCAGTTGTTGTGGTGCCTAATTGCACGGACAAAAATCAAGCAGAAGGTTCAAGTTAATTAAAAGGATGCCAACTGTTGTTTTTATGTCAGAGGTCACCAAAGCATCTTCAGACACATAAGAAACTTGAGTACCGAATTGTGGTTGCCACCGGCCCATTCAACAGCTACAGAGTAAAACTAATTACTAAGTACAGGACAACTTTTCACGTTGCTTACATTTTGGGAGGGGTAATTGTTGTCAAGTTTTTTTTTACAAAAAAAACTTCTTGTAATTCATTATGAACTTTGATACATTTATTTTTCTCAATTCTACTAAACACAAAAACAGACGCCCATTCAAGTTTACCTTTAAAGGAGCAGCGCATGCCTTTCTTCCACTTGTGCTCAATGCAAATCTGAGATTCAGTGGTAGCTATGAAGTCTTTGTTGTCTGTGAACCCAGCCACGTCTATCAAGTCAATTGACCCAAACTTCGGGTTCTTGTATGTCAGCAGAAATGCACTCAGATCTCCATTGGTACCCTGGTACTCCTCGAGACAGCTCAGAGCCAGATTGCGGTACTGTTCCACCAGGGGTTCTACCTCTTCTTTCAACTCCATCTCTCCAATTGTGAGACAGTTGTACATTTCCTGCCACAGCTTAGCACACATGAGTGCGATTATAAGCGGGTCTTTGGCTTTGCTCCAGAAGAAATGTGCCAGTTCAGGTTTGAGGGAGAATAGAGACCAGAAGCAAAGTTCCCGGAACGGGTCCTCGAACCCCTTTTGGCCTCCAGATTCCGGAAGGTCAACCAATCGGTTCTCTGGAAACGCTAGGGTGTAGTAGTACACCATGAAGTAAACGTCACTCAACGAGTAACTGTCTTTTGGTCCAACTGTTCTGGTTAACAGTTTCAATAACGGCGTACTTTTTTCGATCGTATCTTGGTATAGCAATGAGAGCCGGTTTGGCGTGAGAAAGCGTTTCATTTCAAAGCCGACTTCCAGGAAGAGCTTCACGAAAGGAAGCTGTCCTTCAATTAAGGCTCGAAAACAAGTCGCGCCAATATTTTTTCGCTCATTAATATCCGACTCCGCTTCGACTATGCTTTGCACGACGTCGTCACATTGGTGCAAATTCATAGCCAGTTGCAACGCGTCGCATCCTAAATCAGACACAGATCTAATCAGCGCCTTCAGAATGCACTCGTCCATATGGTTATTTGGCCTGTCGATCCTGTAAATGATGACATATCGGGAATATTCTAGAATAATTTTAATGAACTGTAGTTCAGTCTTATGGACTTCATCGAGTTCAACCCCCAATTTTTTAGCCAGATTGTTGATCAGTATTTGTATGTTTGTTTCTTGGTTAATAGTCAAAGGGTTCCTGGATTTTCGAACAAGTCTGAGAGCCTTGGCGATTATTTCACTTGCTCCCCCTACTCCCTCGCATATAACAACCGCAATGTGGTTGACCAAACTTTTCGCAACTTGCTCAAAAATAGGGAGCTCTCCGCCCATTACTATTAACACAGTCGGAATTGTGTTAGCTGCTGTTGTCGAGGCAGTTATGTTCGGCTCTTCGCCCGATTCCGGTGTCGCCGTTTCCACGACTGGATCTCGGTTCGACGAAAGGAAACACTCGAGAGCCGACCGCATCTCGGCATCTTTCGTCGGCGAATGAGAGTCGAAGAAAACAAAATGGGAAAAAAGTTTGTTTAGGGTAGCAGATTCGTCAAGGCCGCTGTTCACGTTGTAATGGAATGCGTCTTCAGTCTCTGAGTTTTCCTTCCGAGGTGCACCAGTCCAGAACTGGACTTCATCCCCATGTCGGATGAGGTTCCAGTTGACCATTCCAATAAGATGCAATTTTGGCTCCTGTTGTCCGATCCATTCCAAATATTGAGCGTCTTGAAGAACTTCAGCAATGAGACCGTCGACTCCTAAAAAGAGCTGCTTAATTAATAGGTACTGCGTGTTTTACTTAACCGTTTGGCCTGTCATATATAGTATCTAATCATATATTACGTGTTGGCGCCATTGGTTAGCTATGTGTCTGGTGCGGCTACTAATTAATTAATACCTGCCAACCTTAAGTTTAGTCTGCGATGTTTGGATTCATTGTTGTTAACCGTTAAAGAATAAACGAGTCAATCTTAGTTCAGTGAATTAAAGATATTGAACCTGCATTTTTCACATGGCGCAGCAAGCAGGACAAAGCGCGGGATCAGGGAAAAATCCACTGGGAATTACGGCATTTTGGCCGAGTAAATGTACGGAAGCACCAATGTTGTGGGAGCATTGGATTACACGATTCACCTGGGGTGTAATAGCAAAACATTCATTCAATCCGACGGCATTTTATTTTGCTAATACGCTCACTGAGGCGCAAATTACTGGTCTGCCAGAGGAGGTGAATGGGAAAAATCGAGTGGAAGCAGAGCAGACACTAATTTCTAACCTCTATTTGTGTTTGGGGGAACGTGGACAGGACGAATTACATAACCGGAAGCCCCATCTGGACCTGGCGACTACCCGATATCCACGGGTTTTGGATGAATTTGAGAGTGTTTTCCGCAAGGAAAGAAACGAAACATTCGAGACGTATCAGCTACTATCTCGGAAACAACGTGACGGGGAAACGCTAGAAGAATTTCACTCCGTTTTGAGTGGACTAGCCGCTAGATGCTCATTGGGAACATTGGAACGACGGGTGTTACGTGATGTATTCATAGTAAATATGTCCAACAAGGAAGCCCAAACGGAGCTATGCCGTTCAACTAAGACACCAGATGAGGTCTACCGGATTGCTTTGTCATATGAACGGGGGGACAAATACGCAAAGTCGTATAAAGTATCCGGTGGGGGACTTATGCGGCACCAGCGGGTTCACTACAAATTAAAGCGGAGCCTATAAGCGCAATTAGAGGAGGGTACCGTCGTCCATTCCAAAGAGGCGGACGTGGATTTGGCAGGGGCGGCACAAGGGGCCGCGGAGGAGCAGCAGATCGCAAGTGCTACAATTGCGACCAGAGTGGTTTTACCCCGGACCCATTCCAAAGTGCCCAGCAAGAAATGTAACCTGCAATTTTTGCAAGAAAATGGGACACTATGAGCGAACTTGTAGAGGACGTCGATCGGCGAATAGGGGTCGCGTAGGCATGATAAATGAGGATGACACCAATGGCGGGACTACCCAAGATTATCCGGAGGAGAGTGCATCCAATTACGGAAGTTCTGTCGGATGGGTGACTGATTCAAAGACACCGGCACATGGATGGGATTCGGATAGTTCGACGGAGTATGTGGTTATGTCAATTCGGCGGAAGGAGGAAACGGAATTAAAAGTCGCGGGGGCCAAACTAGCCTTAAGAATCAACGGCAAAGCAACTCAAGCCTGGATTGACAGTGGTTCGCCAATATCCATCTTCACTATTGGGGAACTAAAACGTACCCTGGGGACAGTCAACGTACAATTGAAACCGCTGAATCCACAAGACGACCAATTCCGCGATTACGGAAACAATCCGTTAAAATTTCTGGGAAAGATGCAAGTCACGCTTCATTCCAATGGATGGACTTGTTCGTCGGATATCAACGTCATCGGAGGGTGCCGACCGTCTATTATTGGCAGGGATTTAATGCCCTCACTAGGACTGATGCTGGTACAAGCACCATCGACAGAAGGGGTGAAAAGCATACATACCACGGAAGGAACTGTGGCGATGGACAATGACCTGGATGAGTGGCAGACACATTTCTGTAAGCAATTTCAACATCTTTTTCACAGGGTAGGGCGCATTCGAAATTATAAGGTGCAGGCAGATTTCTTCAAAAACCTAACTCCAATTCAACAAAAAGGTAGGCGAGTACCTATAACATTACAGGAAAAAGTCGATAAGGAGATTGAAAAACTGTTGGGACAGGGTCATATCCAAAAGTTGGAAGAATGTTCAGACAAATATTTTGTTTCACCTATTGTCATCACCGTGAAAAAGGACGGTTCTGTAAAACTTGCACTGGAATCTAGAGAACTAAACAAACAAGTGCATAAGAATAAATACCAAATGCCCAATATTGAAGAACTAATGGACATCGTAGGGCAAACTATCAGCGAACGCAAACAGGGGGATGTTTTTTTTACAACGATGGACCTCACGTACGCATACGGTCAACTTCCTTTAAATGAAAACACTAGTAAACATTGCAATTTTTCATTGGTGGGAGGCCGTTCTACCGGTACATATCGATTCAAAACAGGATTCTACGGATTGACAACCATGCCGGCGGAATTTCAACGGGTCATGGATGCCATTCTGGCTGAATTTCCGTGCGCGCATGCTTTCATTGATGATATATTAGTAATTTCGAAAGGTACCAAGATCGAACATATCGCTTTAGTGGAGAAGATTTTAACGAAACTCGATAAAGAAAATATGGCTTTGAAGCTAGAAAAATGTCAATTTGCGAAAAATACTTGCGAGTGGTTAGGCCACCGGATTACGAAATCAGGGATTACACCAATGGTGCGGAAAACAGATCCAATTGACAAATTAACCGCCCCGAAAACGCTCTCTCAGTTGAAATCGTTCATGGGGTCAATCCATAGTCTTCACAAATACTTACCGGCGTTAGCGGAAACTTCGGCGCCTCTACGTCCACTTCTAAGTAAGAAGAACGAATTCCTCTGGACAATTGACTGCCAAACAGCGTTCGAATCGATTAAGAAACAAGTCGCGAACATTGTCGAACTTAAGCATTTCGACGTACATAAGGATATACGTATCGTGTGCGACGCAAGCCATAACGGTTTGGGGGCGGTACTCGAACAACTAGGCACCGAGGGTTGGCGACCAATATCATTTGCGTCCCGGTTTTTAAATGCGGCCGAAAAGAAATATTCGACGAATGAGCTAGAAATGCTGGCCGTAGTTTGGGGCTCCGAATACTTCAGAAATTATATTTTCGGGCGGAAATTTACTGTGGTGACAGATCATAAGGCTTTGCTATCTTTATTGAATGGGAACAATAAGAAAAACAAGACTATGTTCAGTCGATTAACTCGCTGGATTGATAGAATTATCCCCTTTGATTTTGTCATTGAACACATGCCTGGGGCTAAAATTGGCCTGGCGGATTACCTTTCAAGGCATCCGGTGGGGGAAGCCACGAAAGTTAGTCTTTATGATAACACTTTCACAGTGGCAAAATTGAAATCAATTACCAATTCACTCGGATATATTGATACCAATAAAGGGATCATCAAAGCATCAAAGGAATCAATTGTTTCAGCTAAAGATATTCAAGTTGGAAACGATAAAGTTAACATTCCACCGGAAGAGGGCGTCAAAACGCGTGACCGTCGGTTGACCAATCAGAAGCCACTAAAACGAATAGCTGAGTGTAATGACCGGGAAAGCGCAAAAGTAGTAAAGTCAATCACCGAATGTAAACTACGTGAGCCTGATATTAATTCCACAGTAAACAGTAGTCCTCCATTTAACAAAACAAGTTATCGATCTAACAAAATACACATATCTACAATGACATCACTTAATTTGAAGAAATTAAATAAATTACTGTTGAAACATCCAGAAATAACGAGCGGCAGTAGCAGCGAGGTGGAGATTGTGGATGCACGATTGGAGGCGGAGACGCATCACACCAGGGACATTCGATGCAACACAGTCATCTCCATTCCTTCGGCATTCGGAGGTGAACTTTTTCCGGCGGCATACCCAGCAGGAGGGAACGTCATCATGTCAGTAATCCCCCGGGACTGCAAGATAGTCCGCAAAAGCAGTGCACTGCCGGAGCTATTCAACCTGAAGCTCGTGGAAGCGAACTATAAAGGGGACCCCCAGATGCGCGCAATAAAAGAACTGGTGGAGAGTAAGGACCCGGATTTGGAAAAGAAGGTCAGAGCAATGGGTGCCTACCTCGGACAGCACACACATGATTTCCACGTGCGGGAAAATTGTCTGTGGATGGACGAACGACTCGTCATCCCCATACCACTCAGGAAGGCTGTGGTTAATCGGATACATGCGTTTCACCATGGGCGCTCGAGTATGTTCGACGCTGCGAGGGATGTCTGGTTTCCCTATCTCCACCGGAGTTTAGTCGCAGCTGCGGATGGATGCAAGGAATGCACCGATGCAGGTAAAAGCCTTAAACCATTATGCGCCAAAGGTGATGTTGGGAAGATCTATGAACCACGCGAGCCGAACGAATGCCTACAGCTTGATTTTTGGGGTCCAATTAGATACTTAAATGAATCAAGTAAAAATGTCTTGGTAGCGGTTGACCGATTCTCACGTTGGCCCTCTGCAATGATCTGCGGAAATAATAAAAGCGACAAGGTCCTTAAGTTCATTAAACAATACATATCTCAACATGGTGTCCCTAGGAAAATTTTTATGGATCAAGGTACAAGTTTCACATCGAATGCAGTTAAATCATTTTGCAATTCCGAAGGAATTGAAATAATTTATTCACCCGTGAATGATCATCGCGCCACCGGGTGTGTCGAACGTACCATTGGCAGTCTGAAAAACTTTGTCTTAACTTACGCTAAAGAAAAAGATAGTGGAAACTTAGAATCAATGATAGAACGAGCCTTGAGTGCTCTAAGATTTGCCCCAAATGCTACTCTCAAAATATCGCCGTTTGAAGCTCATCACGGCAGAGAAGCCAATACGGTACTGCGAAATCTTACGAAAAAGCCAACCCTGCAAAACCTAAACTGGGCCAGAGTGTTGAAACAAAAATCTGCCTATTTAGATTCTACTGACCCCAGAGCTCCGAGGAACATCCAACCCATGGCAACGGATTGGGAAGAACGATCCGACGTGGAGTTTGATGTCGATCATATGAATCACCCTAGGCGACTGACACAAAATCAACTAGTTTCGGCGGCGGATGGAACACCAATGGCTGACGG